TCGGTTAATGAACGACTCCGTGGAACCAATTGTGTTCGTTAACCGAGGGACCACTGTACTTACTTAAACCCCTGTAATTTCTTTGAAGCCAGTTATATACGTTTGGAATTTGATATATTATATATAAATTTATCCAATACATCACTGTTTGTGAGCTACCAAAAGCTAACAATGGCAGAACAACGAAAAACATGCGATGAATTATATTCATAATTTAACTACTCTAATTTAATTAATTCAGATCTATGACCATTTCTACCCTTACTAAACAAGAAGATTAACTTGTCCAAGTCTTATCTTTGATGAAATTCAGTCCAGAAAAATAGAAATGAGAATAAAAGCAGATCGAAAAGTTCCTACAATCTCTCTCGTTTAGGCGGCGCTATCGGCCTTCAGTAGTGATGTCATCATCAGATTTGCACGGGAGACCCAGGCCTTCTCTCCTAGGTGACCTTGATGTAGTACTGCACATACTCATCCTCTCACAGCCTTGTCAACTGACTACCCGTGGCACCCGACACCACCATCATTAATACCAATTTTTACCACTAATGGCATTAAAACAATAAGCATGTGAATTTAAGAATATACAAAAGAATCATGTAGGTTATGGTAATGAGTGACCTCTAGAGGCATGTGTGTTATCACTCTCGTGGCTGTACATCAGCTGATGCTTCTTCTCTGCACACCTACAAGGTTTTCAATTAAGGTTTGATTTTTCTTTTTGCATGACAGTACTAAAAAGTTGCAATAATCAATTATTTTGGCCATAAATATTTAATTATGGTACCTGTACAGTATATCAAATTGGCAATATGAAAAATTGCAAATAAACAAAGATTCCTGTCAATGAAAATACAGCTAGACCCCGACTTACATCTACATGGATTTATGTCCATTGGTACTGACGACCTGCTTTGACCGTACGTCCGTCGGGACATAAGACTGCGACCGTCGTGACCAAAAATATTTTCAAATGACGTGCGCATTTTCTATACCGAAACGTTTCCGTCCCGGGCGAGAGGGTGGCGCGTCTCGGGTCGCCTCGTGGGTACACTCACTCAGTGGAGCGCTTTGTTTGTGTTTGGCTATTGTATCCTATGCTGATTGCGCTGTGAACTTTCGTTATTATCGTATTTAATTGACTTTATAATGACTAGAAAGTGTAAAAGTGAGAGTGCTGGTGGTGTTCCAAGGAAAAGGAGACAGGCAATTACTTTTGAGATGAAAATGAAGATAATTACACAGTATGAGAATGGAAAAACAGTAGCAACAATCTCACGTGACCTATGTTTCTCACACTCGACTATATCCACTATATTCTTAAGGACAAGGAACGTATTCGTGAAGTGGTGAAAGGAGCAACACCTATAAAGGGAACTATAATATCAAAGAGAAGACAAGGTCCTATTCACAATATGGAAAAATTATTGGTGATATGGATAGACGACCAGATACAGAAGCGAGTACCCTTAAGCGTTCTTACCATACAGGCTAAAGCAAGAAGCCTGTTCCAAAGCCTGAAGGAGCAGGCAGGAGATGAATGTGATCAAACCTTTACAGGAAGTCATGGGTGGTTTGATAGATTTAAAAAAACGCTACAGTCTACACAATGTTAAGGTGAGTGGAGAGGCAGCTAGTGCCGATGTTGGTGCTGCCGAAGCTTTTAAGGAGGAGTTAGATGATGTGATTGTGGAAGGGAATTATTTGCCTGAGCAAATATTCAATGTGGATGAGACTGGATTATTGTGGAAGCGCATTGCCTTAGCGGACATACATCCACAAAGAGGTGAAAACAATGCCCGGATTCAAGGCATTCAAGGACAGAATTACACTTCTGTTGGGGGGGGAATGTTGCTGGTTTCAAGCTAAAGCCCTTCATGATCTATCATTTAGAGAACCCCAGGGCTTTTAAACATGTCAGCAAGCACACACACTGCCAGTGTTTTATCGCAGTAACAAGAAAGCCTGGATGACCCTAGAACTGTTTGAGGATTGGTTCATGACTTGTTTCATTCCACGAGCCAAGGAGTATTGTCTGCAACAACAGATTCCATTCAAGATTTTACTGATTTTGGATAATGCTCTGGGACACCCACCACACCTGGACGACATGCACCCTGATGTTAAGGTAGTGTACATTCCACCTAACACTACCTCTATCATCCAACCCATGGATCAAGGTGCTATTGCTGCCTTTAAAGCGTATTGTTTACGCACGACCTTCGCTCAGGCTGTTGCTGCTACTGAAGGTGAGAAAACGCTCAGACAGTTTTGGAAGGAGTACAACATTTTGTCATGTATAAAGAACATTAGTGCAGCATGGGATCAGGTTACAAAACATTGCATGAATGGAATATGGAAGAAAATCCTGAAAAGATATGTGCACAGTTTCAAAGGATTTAATGAAAATGAAGTTATTTCGGATATTAGTAACAAGATAGTGGAGTTAGGTAAACAGCTGGAGTTAGAAATTGATACTGAAGATGTTGGACAGTTGGTTGAAAGTGTAGCAGAAGAGCTCAGTAACGAGGATCTTATTGAACTAGATGCACAGAAAATTGCAGAGGAAGAAGAGAGACAAAATGTAGAAGAAGAACCTGCACCCCCCAAAAAGTTTTCAGTGAAACAAATGGCAGAGGCATTTGCTACAATTTATAAAACAATGCAAATGTTTGATGGCATGGATCAAAATTATGAGCGTTATGCCAAAGTTGACAGAACGATCCAAGATGCACTTGCTTGCTACAGAGAAATTTATAATGAAAAGAAAAAGCAAACTGTGCAGTCTAAATTGGACATCTATTTCAAGAAGTTCCCCAGTGCTGTCTCCTCACGCCCCACCAGTGCTGCCTTCACTCCCTCAAGATGAACCAATACCTTCAACCAGCAAGTTTTCACAGCACATAAACCTGTCTGAAGAAAGCGACATTGATGACCCACCCAGACCTGTCTCCTCTTCTGCTTCTTCCAATTAATATAGTCTCCATGTATCCTGTAAATAGAAAATTATGGGGGCCGTGTGTGCATTCAGCTGACTACATTTAAGGTAAGTGCTCAGTCACACTGTATCCATTCCTCATTATTTATTACTTTTACTGTACTGTATCCATTCCTCATTATTTATTACGTTTAGTGTACTGTATTTCATTGTAGATTTTTAATTTTTTTTTTTAATAAAAAAAAAAACTATATATTTTTTTTATCTATGTCGGACTTACGACCTGGATTTGGGTCCCTAACCCCGTCGTAAGTCGGGGTCTAGCTGTACTGTACCTACATATTCAATAATTTCAGGGGCCACACTGATAGACAAGAAAATCCTAATCCCTGGTAGGCAGCTTATGTAAACTTCCAGTACTATACCATATAAAAATTGTGAAAAAATAAAAATAAATAATAATGACTATCAGTGTAGATCTGTAATGTGTGTCTGCACATAGCTGCATAAAATTGATGCAGTAATATCAATCTATCAATAAGATGTATCCAAGGAGAGAATATAGCATACCATAATAAACCATATTAAAGGCAGTCTTCGAATTATGACGGATACATTCCTGGACCCTGATCGTAAGTCAATTTGTTGGGAAGTCAGAAGAATGTTCATTCCATAGTTTAAGTTTGGTTAAAGCACAACCCTGCCCATACAAAACAATACAGTAATATCCGATACATAAGAAATAATCTAAATAATGTAAATAAAGTGATGTTAAACAATATAATGAAATTAATGTAAAAAAGGGGTTTTAATTAATTTTTTTACAAAGAATGTATTGGGATCTCGTTCATAAGTGTGGGTGATCGTAAGTCAGAGGGTCGTAAAGTGGGGACTGCCTGTAATTGTCACTTTGATTATATGTACTGTGTTATTAGTTCCTACAAATACCTGTACATTAACACACTTCTTAATTCTCTAGCACATTCAACATTATTAACTCTCAGTCTCTTCAGTGTCCTAAACTCAAGCACAGTTGTCTCATCACTCACACCATCACAAACAGTCACCGAGTCATCTGCCTCAATGTCCAATTTCTCATTTACTCTTATGTAATGTGAAAAGTTTAATTAAATAAATTAAATGATTTAAATTCTTAAATTTTATATTTAGGACACTCAAATCTTTTATAAAGTTGTTATATCTTTGAAAAAAGAGAGAGATATTTTTTTGCAGGTCACTCAGTGAGGACCCATTATTCATAAATGTGGAATATATGATACAGACTGAGGGCTGCAGTTGGATATACGAGTTAACAAAATGATATACCCTGTACTGTACTGTGTCATCCAACTAATATCACAACCACTGAAGTTAATCATGACACCAGTTTTAGTTTTTGTTTAAGATTGCATAAGCATTTGTACTGTACTTACATTTTTTTAAGTTCTGTGAAAATAGTAGTGGACAATGATTTTTGACTATCAGTACACCAAACTCACTTCATCCTATTCACTGGTAGTTGTCAAGAAAACATATGTACTGTTGTAGTGTCTAGTATAAGAACATATGAATTGGTTTAATGATTAATTGATAGTCTTGCTAATTTCATTCTGCTGGCCTTCATTAATACCCTAAAATAATATACAGTATATAATATATAAAATCAATTGTTACAAAAAGAAGTTCCTGTCTAATAAGAAGATCCCAGAAGAAACAACTGAAACAGCCTTTGTAGTTTCACTCTTCATCCACTGCAAAATATTTTACCTACAGTATATCATTGGTTTTTAATCACACATACCTTTCTTTTAATCCAAAATACAGTACAGTACTGTACCATCAATTCTGAAGCAAAAACCAAGATTACATATTTACATAATTACATCATCATACATGAATACTCTTATCACATTAAATGTACTGTACACAATTAATACTCACAAGGTTAACCAAGCCCCAAAACTGTTCCGTATGTTTTCTCTTCTATCACTATGAGATGAATGCCAACACAAATGTTTATTTTCTCATAAAAGGAAAAAAAGTATAAATGAAACCACTATTATTATAGTAACATCTTGTTATGAAATATAAGTGTACATAAGCAGAATGTTGAACCTTTACTACAAAACATTTATCAAGACGAAATTACAATATACAGGATTAGTTGCTTCTTTTTCCCCCAGCAACTTTCCACAGGTACACAATGATGTAAATATGCAAAGAATAAGATTTATCACAAAATTATGTCCTTGAATACACGAATAACCATTTTCCACCATTAACATCACCAAAAATAAGATGACACAAGAAATTCAAAAGAATTAATAATGAGTGTACAGTAATATTTCAAGCCACTGTATTTATAGTATAAACACCCAACTTTGTAAATACAGTACTGCATACCTGTACAAGGAAACAATCTGGTTAAATAATTATCCATTTCCAATAAAAATTCACACAAATTAAATTGGCTACTTTAGTAAGACAGGAAACTATATAATACACTGTTGTACACTTCCACCTTTTGTTACTTCATTATTCACTTGAAGAAAATAATCTTTTCCTTAAGTCTGAAAATTTACAGCTTATTTAACAAAACTTATTTCAACAAATGTAAAGGTAGGTGCAGATACAGCCAATCCACTTAAATATAAACATGGTTCTGGTACAGAAATATTTACAAAATGGAGCATAAAATCATTAATCACTCTCGGACTCTGACTCAGATTCAGCTTCTCTAACTCTTAGGGGCACCTTGTACTCCTGATCACAGCCCATATAGGCATCACTCATAAAATACAGCCTGTACTCATAAGCTCCTTCACTTGGAGCTACAAAATCCAATTTGACCTTTGCTTTTTGTTGAAGGGTGAGACGCTTAATGGAGATTAGGGAGTTTGGTTTAGGATCACCAATAATAACCCACCACCCTTCTTCTCGCTTGTGTGGGAACAGAGGAGCAATGACTGGTCCAGGTTCATCTTCACGTTCAAGTACCACTTCAACATTGACCATCGACCCACTCGTAATAGAGTCTGCATCAATGACTTCATAATCTAAATTAATGCTAGGATAGCGGTTACAGAAACGAGCCACATCTGTCATCTGAGCATCAGACAACTGAAGGAGACGATTGCGATCATCATCCTCAAGTTCTAAAATGTCGAAGACAGACGTCACATCCTTGGCTTCACAACGCTCAATCATATCGCTTGTAAAATGAGGCAACTGTTTCAAGTATGAATCTTTAGACCACATGGCCTGAGTCACCATCTGTGCGAGAGTCATAGCAGACAAAGCAGGAGCTAACCATCCATTGGAGGATAACACATCTACACAAGCTTGAATCAACCTTAAGGCACGACCAAGAACGAGCTCAGTATCTTGCTGCAATTCAGCACTGAGAGTGAGTCGAGATAGATGGGCCTGCAACATAAGGTTAGTCTTTGTGTGGGGATCTGTTACTTTTCCCTCGGGTTTGTTGGGCACTTTTTGTACAAGACGTCTCAATGTGTCTTCTTCTCCATGACGAATGGGGACATTTTCATATTCTGCAGCACTTGAAATAATCTCCAGTAATCCACGAATCTTTGTCTTGCTGTTCAATGATTTGTTGAACAACTCTATGGTAGTATAGTTGATGTAGTAATATGATGCAATGATACCCAAGTTTAGAGGAGCAGTGTCCATGTCATCTTCAATGGTGATGCATCTTGACTCTTCAAGGTCATGCAGGGTATTTTCCACGAGATCAGAAAGGTGATCAGATAAGTGGCGATGTGAAACACCTTGAAGACCATAGTAGTTTGGATTCTGAGTCATACGACGGTAGAGGAAGGTCCAAGTTACATAGTCTACTGCTTCTTGTTTATTTTCAATTGTACGGGTGACAATTTCAGCATTAAAGTGATCATGTAGTGCATGATCAAGATGGCTTTCAATGGGTAGTGGCTCATAAAGAAACTTCTTGAAATAGTCCTTCTTGGAAGAATGGCACATAAGAACACACTTTGCCTCATCATCCTCATTTGGTCGGTTTGCACGACCAACCATTTGCAAGGTGTCTGTAATTGGGTAGTCTTCATAGTTGTGAAGACGACCATTGTAGCTCTGTGTATCTGTGATAATAACCAAGTGTGAAGGAGCTGTTACAGCCCAACAGAGTGCACGACTCACAACTACAACCTGAATTGCCTCTGCTTCAAACAATCTCTCCACCATCCTTCGGTCACGTGCGCTTAGACCTTCATGCAGGTAACCAACACCCTGGCTGACCAATTCTCTCAACATCTCATCACTAATTTGAGGAAGGAATTCTACCATCTCTTCTGGATTTACTTGTAAGAATCTTTGTGGTTCTTTGTCTGCAGCGGCAAAAGTGAGAAGATCACTAGCTGTAATCATACTCTGCTTACGAGACGGCACAAACACCATGGCTGGCTTACGTGGACTGTGTTTTAAAATGGCAAGGTAAGCAGGTTTGGCCATGGCATATATCCGAGAAGCATTGTGTGGATTGTTAAAGCCTTGAATATGTAGCTCTAGTGGCAAGGGTCGAACATTTGGATGGAAATTGAATGTATAGTTAGAGGAACATCCAAGCCACTGAGCAACATCTCGGGCATTTGCCAAAGAGGAACTAAGAGCTACAATACGAATGTGCCTGCTGATCTTAGACGCAATGTAGCGTATGCGAGAACATACTACCTCCAGTGTAGGGCCATCAGATCCACCCATTAACTGCAGTTCATCAACTATGAACAGACTAATATTTTGTACATTTTTTCTCTGTTTCCACCTACGTGAAAGTACATCCCATTTCTCAGCTGTACTTACAACAATGTTTGCCCTATTCAAGAGTTTCAAGTCTGCTCCAGTTTCACCAGTTAAAAGCACAACTCTCTTGTCCAAGTTACTAAACTTCTCTTGCCAGTGCTCATACATACTCTCAACTATTTCATCCTTAGATGCCACATAAACACACCTTGCCGATTCATCTTGACTAAAGGTACGCAAAATGGCAAATTCTGCACATAGTGTTTTGCCTGAACCAGTTGGTGCAGCAATGAACACACTATCATCTGAATTATATGTAGCATTGAAGACCTGAGTTTGAATGGGATTAAATTGCTGATACTTGTTTAGCATTTTATACAGTGTTTCATATTGTGGGTTTCTTAAAGCCGTGATGGGCAATGGTTGCAAGTCCAAAAGTTCAGTGGGAGGAGGATACTTCTCTGGTAATATGAGATGACGGAATGACACTGGTAACTGGGTCTCTGCTGAAAGCCACTTATCTGAGGTAATGCGGATGAAATAATGTGGATGCAGAGGCTCAAATACAGGAACAAAGAATTTAACTACATGCTCATCCTCTGCAAACTTCTGTTTTAACAGAAAGTATTCATGATGAAGAATATTTTCAGCATCAACATCTTCAACCATAATCCAAAAAGCTTCAGAGCGACCATGAACCTTCTCATCCCACTTAAAATCTGGTGTAATGGTTAGTTCTACTTTAAGCATCTGGCGTGTAATAGGCTGAATGTGGGTTTCCAAGTCAAGTTTGGGCAACTGGTGGATATATTTGTGTATCATCTTTCCACCCTTGGGCATACGGATTAATTCCCCAATCTCATTAGGATCCAGGTCATAAAGACGCTCCCAAGGAACACTCTTCTTCTCAAGTTTGCGAATTGCTTCTTCAGGAATTTTTCTAAACTGCCGTAAGGGAGACATTGACTGCCACATCCTTTTATCTACCATTTTGCACAAGTTTAGAGTTTTGTCTGCCAGCTGTGCCCATGCTCGGTGCAGCACAATTTCAAACATTGCTCTCATTAGTCGCCCTGCACTTTGAGTCACGTACACCATATCTGACATTAGAGCAAATCCGTCTAGTTTTAGCTGTGAGATGTAAGCTTGAAGGAGAATATTAACTTTGGCACTAGGTTCTTCTACACTCTCTTTGATTGGAATGGGAACACGTTCCATTAGCTTTTTCAATTCTAATTTTTCTTCTTCTCTTACCATGATGTTCTTAAACTCAGAACTTTGGGAGAACACCCGGAAAAGTTCAATTTCACTTAGAGTTGGCTTCAGCTGTTGATTATAAACATTCATGGTTTCACAGGTAACATAGAAATAACTGGCAATACGACCCAATTCTGTAACCTGAAAATTACCAGACTTCTTGTCATATTTAATCAAGTTACTTTTCTCCAGTTTCAAGGCAGCAGAATGTATAAGATTTGCTCGATGCTGCTGAAGATGTTTATCAGAACTCTCTGTCTGAACAGCATACAGATTTCCAGCTCTTATCATGCGTACATACAGGTATGTATATCCCAACCAGTTGACAGCTTCCCTCACACTTTGAACAGAACCAAGTACAATTTCAGCATTTAAGAGGTCAGGGAGTTTGTTAATCAGCTGAGACTCAATCGGTAACTGCTGGTTCATAAGGGAGAGATAATACTGAAGCTCAGAATGGTTTGTAATTAAAATACCCTCTCCCTTAGTATCATATTGTGGTCTGCCTGCACGACCCAACATCTGAAGAACATCTAGAGCCCCAAGTTCCACCCAACGACCTTTACTTGCATCATATACTTGAGTCCCTTTGATCACAACTGTGTGGGCAGGGAGATTTACACCCCAAGCTAGTGTAGCTGTTGACACTAAAACTTGTATGTGACGATCAGCAAACAAGTCTTCAACTAAATTTCGATCAACCCTATTCATCCCAGCATGGTGAATAGCAAAGCCATATGGAAGTAGTCCTTTGAGATCATTGTTCTTCACTTGGTCTGCCTCTGTTCGTAACACTTCAGTTGAAGCAGAGCCTTCTCTTAGGAAATTTCCAAGGGTATCCTTTTCTAAACACATATCTAAGATGGCTTTTGCCGTCTTAGCAGTCTCCTTCCGAGAATGAACGAATATTAAGATCTGATTTTTACCTGCATGCTCCATCACTTTCTCATACAAGATATCATTCATAACTTGGTAGCGCTTAATTGCTTTCTTTTCAGTAATTCCAATATACTGCTGAGCTAGTGGGACTGGGCGGAAGCTGTTATCAAAAAAGAAGAGTCCTGTTTTAAGACTGACTCTCAAAAATGCTGCAACATCTTCATAGTTAGGTAAAGTAGCAGATAACCCTACCAGCCTAACAGCATCCCCAGTAGTCTCAGAATTACGTAAAGTTCTTGCAACTAATGCCTCCAAAACTGGTCCACGCTCATCATGGAGAAGGTGGATTTCATCAAATATGATAAGTCTTACAAGCTGTGTGTATGATCTTTCTCCACCACGTCTAGTAATGACATCCCATTTTTCAGGAGTACAGACTATTACCTGCGTCTCCATTATCTGCTCCCGAGTCAACTGATGATCTCCAGTTAGTTCATTAACTTTAAGTCCATATGGTTCCAGCCTCTTAGAAAAGTTCTGTGTCATTTCTGTTACAAGAGATCGCATAGGAGCAACATAGATAATTTTGAAGGCCTCACCATTAATGGTACCATCTTGGTTAGTGTTTTTACCAACTTCTCTGAGAATGGTTAACAAAGCCACATTTGTTTTACCTGCACCAGTAGGTGCACAGAGAAGTAAGTTTTCATCACTCTCCATGGCTGCTTTGTTCAATTTACTTTGAATGCGATTAAGATTCTTGAAGCCATCAAACGCTGGCTGGGCATAGGCAGGAAGGTTAGCAATTGGCACTAAAGTTTCATCTGGAGCAAAAGGTTTTGGCTTTAGGGCAGGCACATGGATTTCATCATACCCTTTCTTCATTTGTCTTGTTGAACCTTCTGGAAGATGACATTTCTTGTTTGAATTGTAATGTGATCCAGTAGTAAATACAAGGCTCTCTAGATCTATAAATTCTCTATGTCCTGGAACTTGACCCGACTTATCATCAGCTTCCATAGCTTCTGTGTTTATTCTCCTTGGACGTGACCCTCCAACTTCCTCTCCATCTTTCGACACATCCATAGCCTCCTCTTCATTTTCTAAAAGAGCCAGTATTCGCTTTAGGTTTGGCTCAGCCAACATAACTCGCCTTATATCTTCCTTTTCCGAGTCTGACTGTGCTGAAGCCAGAAGTGTACAATACAAAACCATTTGACGATTTTTATTAAGAATTTTGATGAACTCAAATTTATCATATCCAAGATTAAGAACAAGTTTGTTTTCACATTCTCGGTCATCCTTGGCAGATTTCAAAATCTCAAGTACATCACTGGATTTAGTCTGAGCCTGTATGGGATCATTATAAAATCTATTGAGTTCTCTTTGAAGCCAATGAGCTCCAATGTCATGTGGACTAAGCACCCTCTCTTTTTTTGTTCCAACTTGCTCTCCACCTGTAAGATTTTCAGCATGAATGGCATGTGACCCAACCACTCCATCTTCATTATCAACTTCATCTTCCTCTTCATCACCAACTTCACCAGCTACTTCATCTTCTTCTTCCTCTTCAGAATCTTCAAACTGAACATTAACGCCATGTGTTTCATCAAGGACTGATTCACTTGCCACTGCCTTTGTCTCATGACCAAAATCAGTAATCTTTTTCCCTAAGTTGACCAACACAGCAAACCTTTCTTCAGCTAGTGAACCCAACAATTCTTCTGTTTCTTTCTTACGTTCACGATCCTTAAGTTTGTCGTTCTTCAACACTGCAAGAACTTCATCTGCTGCACCACACAATACATCACGAGGCTGATCCCCCAGAGCTTCTTGAATGAATGATAAAATTACTTCATATGTTTGTTTTGTGTCTGTGCTCTTGGGGCGATAGAATATGTCTGCCATGTCATCAAGTTCTAATATACTCATGCTCTTTACTGCAATGGTTGGTGTATCCTCACGCTTCTGTTTCTTAGATTTCCGCTGCTGCTCCTCCTTTGGTTGTTGTGGCTTGGTGCGCTGATAGCGATCACCCATTCGTGTTCCCTCCAGCTTCCCCGAGAGGGACATAACCTCTCCCGTTGCCTCATCTTTGCTTCGACGTTCGATAAGCCGAACATCTGCTTGCAAGACAAGATTGGAGTTCTGTAAAAAATAAATAATTATTAACATATTCCTATTTATAATTTATCAAAGGTTAATCAAATAATTTTAAAAATATTAAACTATTTACCTAAAGAATCTAGATCATCCTGTTTATCTGCCTTATAAAAGATTTCCCTATTTTTCATATATCCAGAGACATGAGACTTAAAGTGAAACACTTTATAATGAGGAATATTATTTTTCCCACGTAAGAATTAATGTAATTTGGGGTACAGGATATACATTCCACCATGTACAGTAATAGCCCTTGAAAGCTCAGGATGTGTTCCTAGAGAGAGCCTTCAGCAAATCAGCTCACAGTGGGGTCATTATGACAACACTACTGGACACCAATTCCCCCATTAACGTTCTTGTTAGGTTCCTGAAAACCATGACTTTAAGTGAAACAGCATTAATTGAAAACTACTTTACCATAGACACAATGATATAAATAGAGGTTATGTTCCTTGGGTACATTCTAATCAAAATTTTCTCACAACTTGGCACAAATGTTTCACTTTCAACACTATTACCTTCTTCTTGTTTTAAAGTTTCCAATAAATTTAGAGCTTTCACCTGTATGGGGAGCAACAAACATGGAAAGTTTTGTTGATGCTGATCTTTGATCTACATGTTCAGCATTCTTTCCAAATTTTCCATAATGCCACTTTTGTTAAGAGTTAACTCTGTAGCAGATAACGGAGTAACACTTTTAGCACAGGATTTGATATTTTCTGCATTTCCTTAAATTGTTCTTGCCTACAGTTGTAGGCCACAAATTAACAGCTTTTCCTAAGTCCACAGTTCACTGTTCTTCTTCAAATCTCTTTACAACATCTTATGTGACACTTTTTCTCTTCTTTCTGTTACCACAACCAGTAGTGGTACATAATGCATGCTTAGCACTCATTGTTCTCGGGCTCAAATAAATTTATAATTGGATTTTAAGTGAATGTTGATAAAGCATTAACCAACCACCAAACAAATATAGCGCCCACACTGGTTGTTTACAGAGCCATCTGCTATCACAATGAAGTGCTCAGTGCCTTTGTACTGAATTTTTTAAGTTGTAATACATTTATCTCTTTCATACATAACTTCTTTTCAACGACGATTTAACTAAATGACGGTAATGGGGGAATCGGTGTACTGTACCGTGGAGTATTCGATATGGGGAAACATACTTTTGAAGTCAAATGATGGTCGTACAAGCGTAATTCGGGCTGTGAATCACTTCTCAATTATTATTTGGTGTCATAAAGTAAAAAAAAATTGGTAAACTTAATTTAATCTGAGTTGTGTTGGGTTAGGTTAGGTTAGATTAGATTAGGTGAGGTTAGGTACATTTCTGAGACACCTACACCTGGTTCCTATTATTCAAGAGTAACTAAATATTTTTCTTCACTGGAAAACATATTATGGATGACTTAGACGTGAACCTAACCTAACCACCACCTTTACTGCATATATTGAGTTATAACTACCAGAGCTGAAGTAGATAATGTAGGTAAATGACCGTAGTAGTTATGATTCAAAATATAAAACTAAGGTAGACGCCTCAAATCTGAACATCTGATAGCACCTATTATTATGCAATGATCGGGCCAAAATATGTACTAGAATTAAACCACGTACAGAATCCTAACAAACATAATATATTCTATAAATACAGAGAATGAACAATCAGATATTTACCGCTTTATATTCATACTGCAGCTGGCGGGCGGTCTGGTCCGCCATGCTCCTACACAAACGTTGTTGTCATGAGTAACTTGTCGAGATAAATAAAGTACAAACATAAAGTCTTTTTAGCATTAAAGTTTATTTTGTAAAGTATAGTTATTTTTATTAAAGGCTTAAACAAGAATGTTTTTCGATATATACATCCTACGAATTTATTTTATTTTATTTTGTATGGAAAATCATACTCCTTGAGAACTTAAAATATTAACTTAATAATATAATTTATTATAAGTTATGAATAAAATTCAATACTTTATAATATAATGCAATTCTCATTACATGATATCACTAAGAAATTCGAACTTAATAAAAAATTATATTCTCCGTTTTCTCTCTATAATTTGAAGGGTCGAAAGGGTAACACATCCATTTATCTATTGGGGATATTTTCTTTCCAAACGTTATTACCCAACTATCCTAACACTTACCCATTTATTTTTTCAACAAGCCCTTTCTCTGATTCTGTTTCTATCCGAGACAGTTATTGAATGCATTAAATAACACAGAATATTGTTAGAAAGGTAAGTTTGCTCTTGAAAAGTGAAATGAAAAACAAGTTTGAGTATCTCAAAATACGCCAAAGTTTTATTAATTATAATCAAGGTAGCAGGTAGTAGGCAACTATCAAACAGGGAGGTACTACCGCCTGGGAAGATATTGGAAGCATAATGTGTTGTCTAATGGTAGACCCTGCTGCTATATGGCATCACAAAAATTGTGACCAAGTCCCAGGTTGCTGATCTGACTTTCTGCCTCATTTACACACAATTGCAGGGTCTCAATTGTTTCTCTTACTATTGACAACACAACATGCTGTATATCGTTTCTCACTCATGATTTATTTTTTCGTTTGTGTATTTATGGTTATTATTATTATTATTTTTATTTTTTGGTTATAATTTTTATTATTATTATTATTATTATCATTATTATTATTATTATTATTATTATTATTATTATTATTATTATTATTATTATATTTTCGCCCCCCGGGCCCTGCTGGGGGTCAGTGACCTGTGGTCGGGCGGGCTAATCCCCGTGTTAAAAAAAAAACATGTCTAATTATCATTAGGATATACAAAGTAATTTACTATCTATGCTCAAACCAAACATGCACCTACAAAGAACTGTACAATACATGTAACAGGGTAGGGAAGAGGGAGATGGGTGAGGCTTGACCAGAATGGGCGGACCCTGCTGACTGCAATGTTACCATACAAATCATTAACAAAATTTTTATGATACTTGTGTGCGAACGGTTGTTACTGTAGGTTTCCTGGAAAAATTGTTTACTGTGGCCCCTGATAGTTCGTGTAACTTTCTTGTTGATATTTATATTTGTACGTGTGTGCAAGTGTAAGCGTTTAAGTGTTAGACAATGTCAGTATATTAATAAATATCTCTGACCATTTGATCTGTGGACTCGAAACTCGTTTCTCGTCAGCTCAACAACCTGCTCGTCTGGAGTTCTCTCTTATTCCATTTTTCTTGGTGAATGACTCAGAATGGAGAGGAAAGGTTCTGAAGTACAGTCAATAGCTAGTGATCTTCCATCACCAAAGTGTCTTGAAGCAGAAATGAAATGAACTACTTGGGAGCCCGGCTTGTCCAGTTCCCTGACTCAGTCAAACCTCTATTTTAGTCTATCTGAACATTATATATTATGCTCCAAGTCAGTGCAATCTTACCAGTTACTTAATGCAAATGTAAACATTCCTTTAGTCGACTGTGGGAATCTAAAAAGTTACCTGCGTTCTACAATGAAACGAGAGATTAAATGATTTCACCTTGTTGTATGTTTATAGAAACAAAAACATAGAAATAAATAAAGTGAACTGTAGCTTTGCTCAAACTCATCCAAGGTGAATGGAATTAGTACAGCAGATATTTGGAGGATAAACAGTGTTAGACAGTGTATGACTTCTTCACATGAGCTTTTCTTTTCTTTTTTTCTTCTTTTTTTACGGGGATTAGCCCACCCAGGCACAGGTCACTGACCCACATCAGGGCCTGGGGGCGAAAATGTAATAATGTGCCTAATAAACTAGCCCCCTCGGGGGCAATCTAAAATAATAATAATAATAATATAATAATAATAGTAATTCATAGTAAATAAAATAATAATGATAATAATAACAAAACTGCAATAATAATAATAATAATAATAATAATAATAATAATAATAATAATAATAATAATAAAGAACTACAAAGAAATACAAAAATGAAAAAAAAAAGATCAAAAGTGAGAAACGCTATATGTATGTTGTGTTGTCAAAGGTAAGAGAAATAATTGAGTCCCGGCAAATTGTGTGAAAATGAGGCAGAAAGTCAGATCAGCAACCTGGGACTTGGTCACAATTTTCGTGATGCCATGTGACTGCAGGGTCTACCATTAGACAACACATTATGCTTCCAATATCTTCCCAGGCAGTAGTACCTCCCTGTTTGATAACTAACCTTGACTTACGGTGTTAACTTTTGAGGTTTGGATTATTGTAATGGCGAGTATGCAATAAATACCCGGCACACACACACACACACACACACACATATATATATATATATATATATATATATATATATATATATATATATATATATATATATATATATATATATATATATATATATATATATATATATATACACACACGAGTATATGATTAGGCTGCCATGATATGAGGCCACATATAAGTAAATAAAACAGTACACTATGTATCATCAACGTCATTAACAACCCCAAATGAATACAATAAGTGGACGTAAATTATTTATGGGCACTTAAACTTGTAAGTGAGGACGTGCTCATTCTTTAGGGTAGTTGGAGACACGGGTGATTGTAAGGAAAATATTAGCCCATTGTCTTGAAGTATGACTTACAATAGCACCGATCATAGCTTGAAATAAGTTTCAGGGTGACCACTTAAGGTGTTGTGTGGGGTCAACTACTGATCACCACCAATATTGAATAGGAAACTACTTCTGAATATAGTCTCCACGCATGAAGTTGACCAAGCAACATAAGCCCGCGAACAATGTCGGGATAATTACTGATGATTGCTTCACGGTCTTAACCCACTATGGCAGAAGATAATAGATGAAACTCAACAGCTTTTATTTTCACGACAGAATAATAAGCAGAAGTAAACACTGGCTGCTGGTAATATATGATGCCAGTGTTTTGTTGTCCCTCAAAAGTTACAAATGTCTTTAGTGGCAGACCTAATTTATAGATGATAATATTGATTAATAATGAAAATAATAATCAGGATAATAACCAGTTAGTGAAGTAGCAGCCACTGGTCATAAACACATTCATATAAGTCAATCTTTATAAAGGACACATAAGTAGGACATACAGAAGAAAGAGCTTAGTACTGTAGTATTTGTCTCATATTAAGAATGTTACAAGTATTATCATGTCTAATCAGAGGTATACTTACCATGTTTGACCCTAGAGTAATTTTGAGTCCCTATCACAATAACTTCAAACAAGTGATCGCGGGCCCTTCGTGCCCGGTGAAAGTTTGAACGCTCGTGCTTGGCTAGAGCGCAACCGCCGTCCGGCTGACAGCGTACAGCGAATGAGGGTGCGCCAAGTCCGTAGACTTGCAGCGTTTTCCATCGTAAATAACATTGTTAACTAATGCCTTCCTAAAGAAACCATCGACATGGGACCAGGTTTGTTCCACTCTACGAATTTTTTGCGATTTTTCCACCAAGTTTGATGAAAAACGATTGTGCCGTATCGGCTGCCCAGAACAGACACACACGCCTAGTCCTATAGTATATTAGATGATCTGAATTTCAAGGCGCCACATGTGTTACTTCTGGCATCGACTACATATATCAGTCCCCCCCCCTCCCGCCACAGTGACCGGGTTTGCAGTAGTCAAGTCTGGATTTGAATGTACTATCAGTCAGCCTGTGGACTTGTATTGTCACCTAACCTAACCTGCCACCTTACATCTAGTAGTAAATATATACAACTTTCGGAGACAAGAAGAGGTGTGTCCCCAGATTATTGAAAACAATTATTATATATTGATCATATTTTCATATACAGTATTTATTTGATTTAAGTTGTTCTTTGGTTAGAGTGATAGTGCGTCTGAATATCTGAGTACAGTATACAGTACAGTATGGTGTCGGATGAAAACATTGCTAGCGTGCAGCTGCTGACGTGATGGATGTCTTTTATGATTCACTCACTAGAGTTGAATGGATCCAAATAACAGACATGTTATCAGACGGCCACAAGTAAAGGAACGCACCTCAGACCATTAGGGCGTTTATGCAATAAAACATGTAAAGATAAATTCATTTTCGATCATGAAATATGAAAAGTAAATATTAAATTTGTATTATTGGTTAATAATGGCAATAGTCATAAGCTTGGCTTCCAGTAAATCACTGTGTGTGTGTGTGTGTGTGTGTGTGCGTGTGTGTGTGTGTGTGTGTGTGTGTGTAGAATATATGAAAAGTGTCACTCATATATCTTCCTCTTCATGAAACTGACCATTAAACACACAAACAATATATTGTCTTATGCCGTACATTTCTTGATATGTGTAGTACGAAGGGGAGAGAATAATCTTGCATGCCCTCTTTTGCACTTTTTTCTAGGTGTTTACGTTGTTTGGCATTTAGGGAGGAAGACCAGGCAGGGCAGGCATAGGTGAGCTGGGGAAGTATGAATGTTGAGTAAACACTGAGGAGCTCGGGCGCAGGAACTCCGAGGGATTTGAGTCGGCGGAGGAGATGGAGACGGAAACTGGAGGATTTGACAACTTTACTGACGTGTGGTTTCCAATTTAGTTTGTTGTCTATGGTGACGCCGAGGAGCTTAGTGGAATCTACAACCTGGAGTGTGTTGGGCCTAAAGTAATGGAAGGGGGTGGGACAACGTTGGGGGAGAGGTTGATGTGCATAACCATGGTCTTGGTATGGTTGATGGTGACGTGGTTGTTGGTGGCCCAGTTTTGGAGACTGTTCAATAAATCCTGAAGGGCGGTATAGTCGGGAGCAGAATTGTTGACGCTGATCCCAATGGTGGAGTCGTCGACATATTTCCAGCGAGCAGGGTATCATTGATAAGCATAAGGAAGCATAATGGGGGTGTGTGTGTGTGTGTGTGTGTGTGTGTGTGTGTGTGTGACAGGAGGTGAAACACGAAGGGTAAAGGAATATCATAATAGCTTTATAGTGGTATCGGTTATTATGTTATTGTGGATGAGCTTGGGTCTTTTGAACGATATTTCAAGTAACAGTACGTGGGGTGAGGCATTGTGGTAATCTGTGTCATGTACTTCACTCAAGCGTTTACCTCAATACCCTGGTGGCCGTCCGCATGACAAAGATATGTTCTGTACAGCGAGGCGTTATACGAATACGAAGAGTGCAAATTGTGTTTGAAATTTGCTGCAGTATAATATTTCGTATATATTTTTTTCTTGACAAAGCCAAACTTTCTGATTTACTTCTTGGTATGGTATACAAATATTTCACACGCTCCAGAAATAGTCCAAGCTTACAGACAACCTTTCCTAGTATTGTAATTTATTCTATTTATTTGGGTCATCTACAGTTAAGTATAGACACAGTTTGCACGACATCCCTGAAGCTACCATCTTAAACATACATTTATGATATTATATTACCTACTGTATGAGGACTTATGTGTTTTTTAAATCATACGAGCCATGATGTTGGCTGTATTATAATGTAAACGTTTTAGGTTAATTCATCCGGCGTCTTTCTTGTTCACCGTACTGTTCCTTTGTTCACCGTACGGTTCTTTTGTTCACCGTACTGTTCCTTTGTTCACCGTAATGTTCCTTTGTTCACCGTAATGTTCCTTTGTTCACCGTACTGTTCCTTTGTTCACCGTACTGTTCCTTTGTTCACTGTACTGTTCCTATACGGACCTCTCACCCTTGACTCTCTCCTCATCAAACTTGGTGATGATCTAACAGGATGATTATAATTGTAGTTGTTTATCTCGGGATAACTTTGATAATTTCTTTAGTCCATGCTGATGTGCTTTCGCAATATGGCCGCCTCACTGCCATTTTAAATCTTTAGACTAAATATGATCACCGTAAACAATATTCGAATGAACTACAACACGTATTCATCGATTTGTGCACAAGAAGTGTGTAATTTATCTATCTTTATGTGTGTGTGTGTGTGTGTGTGTGTGTGTGTGTGTGTGTGCGCCAGTGTGATCAGTGTAGGCTTGTTCGTATACTGGGCTAAGCCACATACCAGTAGAAGTCGACGGTGGATGGCTGGTGCGGTCAAGCGTGTGTGTGCTGGAGGTGTCCATTCACCCGTGCTGTCTGCCTAGGAGTCTTCCTCCTTCTACAGTACCTCCCCTCGTAAGGATCTGTCTCTCCGGTTTTGTTTTTACTTTCATATTGCATTAGGGTTCCTGCGTGATGCTCATCCATTTTGTGTGGCCAACAAGCTACGGGAGATCTTTCGGTATGGCTAACTTTATACATTTAACATCTACTGGTTTATCTTACAGCATACTTAAACCAATTTACATATAAAAAAGAAGTTAAATCGCGGTTCAAGTTTAAAAAGAACAATAATTTTTTCTTGAGAAAATTAAAAGAACGAAGAGACGCATTTTATATATATGTGTTGATAAATTGATTCATGTAAGTAATATTTCATCATTTTGACCATTTCATTGACACTGACGAAGATGATCCGATTTTTTGTGATTTTTCCCGTCGTCATTTTGCTACGAATACAGTAGCTTTAACTCTCTTGATCAAAGCCAAATTGGTATAATGACGTTACATTAGAAGATGTGCTCCCAACAATTATAAATACAGTACCTGGAACGCCCAGGTCAACTTAGTGGGTTGATCTGACCCTTTAATGCCGAAGTTCTTCATGCTAAGACTGACAATGTGTTTATTACAATTTCGTCATGAGTGAGAAATATTATGAAGTCTATGGTTTGGTCAACAGCAAAAATTTCCGTACACAAAGTACAGTAGCTACATGATTAAACAACTGGAACCTGACACAACATTCAGCCGCCCTTACATTTGCACCGCACATCCACCTACCATGGAGACGCCAGTATATAACTCATAGTAGTGAAAGTGTATACTATTAAATTCTCACAGTTGTTGATGGACCTCCCTCTCTTGATTTTTTTTGTTGGCTGGAAGATATTATAGTTGGGTTGCTCCATGTGTTAAGGAGGCTCCCGTGGCAATAAATTTTTCCTCGTCAACTTATCCACTTTTTTTAAACCTGCTACAGTTCCTGAATAGGAAGCTTTAGCTACAGCTGGAAGCTTGACAGTGCCATCGGTGAAATGTTGATATACAAATAAAGGGCTTGAGGCCGTTTAGCTGATGTTGCCTGAGAGTACCTGGTCGTCTTTAAGTAGGCAGAGTGAGTTAAGGCACATTTACCATTGCTTCAAACTGTGGGATTATAATATACAACATAGCCTCACGACGCAGGTACAAACATAGAATCTGAATCACAGCCTCTTCATTCCTGTAGGTTGTACGGCTATGGTTACACCTACTGCTAATGTCATACTTTGGTCTATCGGTGATTTAATTAAGATTTTGTCGGCTTCTCAGTATGAGCTACGTAGTTAAAGACGTTTTATAATTACAAATTCATTTATAAACATCTTCTAACTTGGTCATCGGTGAAAATACAGACCTAAATGTTTATGTACATTTGAAAGTGTATTTAGTTGTTATCCTAAGTTAATTACAAGCCTGGTAATTCATTACGTTTAGTATATAGGTGGTGCACTTTGACCAGAGGGAAAATTAAATCCTCATTATAAGAATCAGTGATGGACGGGCACATATATATATATATATATATATATATATATATATATATATATATATATATATATATATATATATATATATATATATATATATATATATATATATATATATATATATATATATATATATATATATATATATATATATATATATATTGTACACAATTTAAAATTATATTTCAAATTGTTTATTATCACGAAGGATCCTGGAAAAAGAATACGTCAATTTCATTCACCCATCAGCATTACTGAGCCGGTGATGAGAACAATTTCTTCGTAGTACACAGAGCAGAAGACGATGGCGCCAACCAGGAGTGTGGCAACTCTACTGCTGGCTGTTTGGGTGTCGGGAGGAGCCAAGGCAGTAATGGTGTCAACTGGGGTGACTTTCCGACGCTTGACTTCAGATGGACACTGTGGCCAGTCACAGCTGGTGATGCAGGTCGCCTCCCTCACCCAATGTGCCGCTGTTTGTGCCAGAGGTCAGTATCATCAAGCTATACCATAAGTCAGTATCACCAGGACGCCGTGGTCACTGCCACAAAACAAAAGTCACCATCTAATGAACAACATAAAGTCGCAGCAGAATAATTATTTAGCACACTATATAGTCTACATCAACGACTACTGCTACAGGTGTGCGCCAGTATGGAACTTAACACCTCTCCCGGTGAATATTATCAGGACATTAACTTCTGTCCAGTAACTGTCAGTAGGACATCAATATATATGCCCAGGTGAGTGTCCTTGGGATATGATCATTTACCCAGGTGAGTACTGGCAATGTCTCCTACTACAGTATGGGGGGAAACATTCTTCACATTTTTTTTTAATCTGCGCAGTTCTTGTTTTCGATCAACTTCATGTATTTCATCACCTTCGGATTATTCCACACCTGAAAATAACCAACTTTTATATCTATAAAATCTCGTTGTGTGTATCCACGTAAATCAGTTGTAAGTGAACCCCCAAAACTACTACTTATATGGAAGTTGTATACTCCTCATCAGTAAGGTCCTGCATCAGGGAGTGTCTTGGTGCAGGTAGGAGTGTGTGTGTGTGTGTGTGTGTGGTCAACATGCTCGCCTAGGCAGAATAAAACTCCTGAAAGTTTATCTACATCATCTGCCTCTGTTTAACCAGCAGTAACCGGGAACTTGGATATTCCAAGGTAATGGTTAACCAGTGCAGTTAGCGAGTTGCCTGGTCTGCTTGGATAATTCCATGACACTGGGTCATAAGGCTCGTTAACTTAGGGAGTGGTTGTTGTGTTGGTTACAAGGTGGCACTAAAGCCAGCCAGCCTCGAACGCGAGGGCCAACCAATATTATTTATATTATGTAAGGCTGGTGGTGGCTCAAGTCATCACCTTATGTAAGGATCACATCCATGTTACATACACCAAACACACGTTTTCGTTTATTAAATTATTCAGTAAGTGTTGAAGGTAAGGTGAACTAGATAAAGGTCCAGTCGTCAAGATACATGACCTGGGTAGCGATGACCCATCGAGGCCCTGGGAGCTCATCTGAAACTGACAGTCTTCATAAATAGTATAACACTGGGCTATGGATCTAATATATGGTATTTAATTAATGATGAACCTTAACGAGAAACTGTCGGAAGTACTTGCTGGCAAATATTTATCAGGGTAAAGATATCAATGGGTGACGCTGAGGGTAGAAAGCTCTGGCTGGGTAAGGAAGAGACTGGATGGATGGATGTAATTAACAGTTGGGTCCCGGAGAGATACAAATTGGGGAGGATTGGTAAAGACATCCTGAAAATGTATGGAGCAGATAGTCATGGCCGACAACCTCCGGACATGAGGGTGGCGCCAACATTGATTCATTTATTGATATCCGATTAAGGACTGCGTTAAGGTTTTTTGTTCTTGATACAATACATGATTTTTTGTTTATTAATGAGCTATACTGTTGTTATTATCATTATCATCATCATCATCATTATTATTATTAGTAGTAGTAATAGTAATTTTTTTTGTAATAGTAGTACTATTATAACCATGCACCACAACCTCTAGCACCATCACGTCACACCACAAACCCCACCACCACACACCACTACCCCCACCACCACCAGCACTACCCCCACCACCACCATCACCACCACCAGCACTACCCCCACCACCACCAGCACTACCCCACCACCACCATCACCACCACCACCACACACCACACACCACTAACCCCACCACCACCACTACACACACCACTACCAGCACCACACCCTACCCCTACACACTAACCCCACCACCACCACTACCCCAACACCACCACCACACCTTTTCCCACGACCACCACCACCACCACTACCCCGACCACCACTACCCCACCACACCACCACCACTACCCCACCACCACATTTACCATCACCCCTACCCACCACCACCACCCTTGTCTACACACACACTAACCACCACACCACTAACCTGCACACACCACTTATAGGAACATAAGAACAAAAAGAAATAAGAGGTCTCACCTTAATAGGCCGGTTGGCCTGTGCAGCAGCTCCTGTCGAGAGTTACTACCACTCTCTATCATCCATGAATTTATCTAGCCTCCTTTTGAAACTTTCCAGAGTTCCCGCACTTACTACAAAGTTGCTAAGCTTGTTCCATTCGTCCACCACCCTATTTGTGAACCAGTTCTTCCTATCTCCCTCCTAAACCTAAACTTATCCAACTTGAATCCGTTGCTCCGAGTCCTATCCTGCTCGGATATTATAAGAACTTTATCTATATCCCCTTTATTGATTCCTTTCACCCACTTAAATACTTCTATCATATCTCCCCGCACTCTTCGTCTTTCTAGGGAATGCAAGTTAAGTTTCATTAGCCTATCCTGATATGGAAGGTTTCTAAGTCCCGGAATCATTTTTGTCATTCTTCGCTGCACCGACTCTAGTGAATTTATATCCATTCTATAATAGGGGCACCAGAACTGAACCGCATAATCGAGGTGTGGCCTGACTAGCGCAAGATGTAGTTGCAATAAGACCTCTGCACTCTTGTTACTTACACTTCTAGATATGAAACCCAATTCTCTGTTTGCCTTATTTCGAACATTAACGCACTGTTTTCTAGGCCGTAGGTCCGGGCTTACAAGTACCCCTAGGACTCTTTCACAAGTCGACTTCTCTAGGTTGATGTTGTTAAGGCTGTATACATTATAAGTATTTGTTCTTCCAATATTAAGTACGCTGCACTTGCTGGTGTTGAATTTCATTTGCCATTTTTCAGACCACCCCTGCAGTTTATTTAGAACCTGTAATGCATTTGCATCCTGCCCTGAATTAATTTGCCGCCCTATTTTGGTGTCATCCGCAAACTTGCTTATGTCACTGCTGATCCCAGTATCTAGATCGTTTATGTAGATTATGAACAAGAGTGGGCCTAGTACTGACCCCTGGGGAACTCCACTGGTTACACGGCCCCACTCAGATTTAACACCATCTATGCTGACCCTCTGCGTTCTATCGGTGAACCATGATTTTATCCAATTTAAAACTTTCCCCTCGATACCATGAGCCTTAATTTTTCTCAGAAACCTCTGATGCGGTACTCTGTCAAATGCTTTGCTAAAGTCTAAGTCAATAACATCGTAATTTTCGTCATTATCTACTACCTCGAAGACTTTCCTAAAAAACGTTAGCAGATTTGTTAGACAAGATTTTCCCTTTGTAAACCCATGTTGAGAGTCGTAGATTAATTTGCTTTTCTCTAGATGCGATCGGATGCTATCTGCTATAATTGATTCAAGAAATTTCCCCACTACTGACGTCAAACTGATCGGCCGGTAATTTGACGCTGATGCTCTGTCTCCCTTTTTGAATATGGGTACTACATTTGCCTGTTTCCACAAGTCTGGCACAACTTCAGTGTCTAATGATTTTGTAAATAAGTTTACGAGGGGTCCGCTAATCTGTTCCCTACACTCTTTCAAGACTCGAGGGAAAATTTCATCCGGCCCTGGGGATTTTGTTTTCTGTAGTTTATTTATCTTCTTAAGAACATCCTCTTTTCTGATAGTGATATTCTTTAATTTCTCTTCTTCCTTTCCCTTAAATATCAGTTCCACCTCTGGAATTTCATCGCAAATTTCTTCTGTGAAAACTGATAAGAAGTAGCTGCTCAATGCTTTGCTTATTTCTTCACTGCCATTTATCAATTCTTCCCTCCCTGACTTTAAAGGCCCAACTTTGTCCTTGACCTTTGTCCTATATACCACACACCACTTATCACCACACACCACCACCTCCAATACCCATATGTTAACAGTGTGTACATCTCTATCCACAACAGAACCAGCTTGTGAAGGTTTCTCATCAACCAGAAGCTCCGTGTCTCAGTATAGAGAGTGTGCCACTATCCATAATGTGACCCCGACTGACCTTGACCCATATTACCTCTGCTACGTTAGAGGTGAGTTAATACAACCTGATATATCACATTTACACCCTTGTCTACTACAGTGACCTCATGCTTGTAAGAAGTAGATGTGGAAATTCAAAATATATGTTGAGTAAGGAATCAAATAATAAGAGACATTGTTCCGTGTTACGTAGGGATGGAGGGGGGGGGGGTAGTGGTGTTCAGTGGTTATGGTGGGTAGAGGAGGTTGTGGTGTGTGGTGGTGGTTGTGGCGATAAGTGATGAAAAGTTGTGGGGTGTGCATGGTTGATGGGTGGTTTGTGGTTGCCGTGGTTAGTGGAAGTTCTGGTGAGTGAGGTGGGTAGTGGAAGGGTGAGGTAACACTGCTGAAAGGAGGGTATGTTTATCTTGACAATCTCAGGAGAAAGATATGACGATTAAGACTCGATAAGTGTGATCACAGACGACACTTGGAGGATGCATTTCAGTTTTTCCTCCTCGTGACAAGTTGAATGATATGCCCAGGACGATGGGGAACTTTTTATCAATTTCAAGAATGTCTTTCAGATGATGGAGATATATATTTTATTCTTTAATGTTATTGTGTCATTAGTGTTAGATGTAAGTTGGTCAGCAAGTGAGTAAAGCAAAATGAAATTGGCTGAGAAGGTGAAATTAAAGTCCAGAGTCTATATGAATGTATGGAAAAAATTCAGTGGGTGAGGAGAGTGCATTGGAATACCTTATGGTGAAGCAAAGCAAAATCTGAAGAGTGAAGGGGAAAGATAAAAGCATAGTGTGAGAGAGTCGGTGGTATTAACAGCACACTGTGTACTGATACTTGTAGGTCTGTATGAAGCATCATCTCATTTTGATACTGAAAGGTTTCTATAGGATATACTCATTACTAGGGCCCGGATAGTTATGCATTTGCATATTTCATATGCAAATGCATATTTTGCGTGATTTCTATGATAAGTGCATATTACCTAGATAACTGCATATAAATGCATATTTTGGTAAAATATTCATCTGGCAGTATCTCTTTGTTGCCACTGAATGAGCACACGTGGTACTGGGAGGTGAGGTGAGGTGTGGTTAGGTGAAGTGAGGTGAGGTCACGTCGCTTTAATCTGTCGTTTCCACACCTGGTTCATGACTCATTGGACTAGTGAGTTAGTCAGTCAGGAGCAGTGCTGCTGTGTGGAGCTACTCTCTTCTGCTGCTCGTGAAAATGCCGAAAGTACAAAGAAACCAAAATGAAGTGCTGAGATCATATGTAAAGGAATTTGATGCATTTACTACTGATGGAAGTGTACTGTTTTGTAAATATTGTGAAGCACCAGTGACAGCGAGCAAGAAATTTCAAGTCCAACAACACCTTAAAACAAGCAAGCACATCCGACTCGAAGCTGTTAAGTCCAATAGTGCACAAAAGGAGCAACAACTACTTCTTGCATGTTCCAGTAAGTCAGGGCCTGATCGTTCCCAGTTCAACGCAGATTTGTGCAAGGCATTTGTTTCAGCGGATATTCCATTGCATAAACTGAATAACAAGTGCCTAAAGTCATTCCTGGAACAGTATACTGGAAAAAAGGTGCCTGACGAATCAACATTACGTAAGAACTATGTTTCACAATTGTTCAAGGACACGATGGAAATCATAAGGAGAAAGGCTTGTTCTATTTTGTTTCCGTATAACCTGCATTCTTGGCTTTATAAGTGGCATATAAATGCATATTTCCCCTGTTTTTAGTGCATATTTGCATGCATATTTCATGGTTTTTTAGTGCATAACTATCCGGGCCCTACTCATTACATATGATCTAATACAACGTTCTTCTTATTCCCCTTTTCCAGAGACCCTGTACAACCAGACTGTAGCCATTACAACGACACAACCACCCACAACGACAGAACCACCCACAACGACAGAACCACCAACAACGACAGAACCACCCACAACGACAGAACCACCCACAACGACAGAACCACCCACAACGACACTTGGTCCCAAGACGGCGGCAACTCACTTGGGTGTGACTGGAGCCAATGTTCTGGGTTTTACGTATGATGCTGATTCCTTCATTGCCTTCCTTTCTTTTTCAATGTACGCGATGCCTGTCGCCAGTCCGCCACCAGCAGTAGTAAGTACAGTGGTGAGCGATGGCGAGGAGTGTGGTCAGGGCCAGGCCATGGTAGGTATTGGCCATCTGAATACAGGCGACCCAGAGAAGGACGACCAGAGGATGTACTGTGCAGACATTGTCAGCCCCAATTCAGTCACTGCCACGTGTGAGCAGGTAACTATTAGTCAAGAACCCCGACCGAACGTTACTTCCACAGACACATCAACCTGGCATGGCTGGCTTAGTTGCCAAGATGATTACACAGTGACCAAGTTGTTCTGGGTTTACGACACTTCACCAATGTACAGCGACTACCGGTACACAGCAGCAAAGTGCTGTCTGGTGGCATAACCGGCACATGTGAAGCCAAGAGCTGAAAGTTCCTAACAGGTTGGAGGTGATGACTCTACAACATTTGTGTATTAAGATCATAACACTAGATACAGTACTGCAGCAGGCGTCAACCACTCGTCGTTATCATAACATCCAGCACCAGACACCACCATTGCCTCCACCAGCTGAACCTCCAGAGATTCCTAATATCAGGTGTAGATATACAAAATATAAAAGTATTTTTCTGCAGTCACAACATACTTAATTGGTTATAATGATAACACGCCGTGAAAAGTTTACCTCGGTGAGGCAGAGAATGTTTTAGCTTAACATCTCTGCGGTGAGAAATATCAACAGATTCACCAAGAAGTATTAATTAATTATTGTTTATAACATTATTACTCGTGTATCTGGTTTATTGAGCCCACCTCTCACTACTGTTTACCCTCACCTTCAACAAAGTTCATTAAGGTGGCGAGACCTGATTGTGACAGGTTGGGTGCCACAAGGCTGAGAGATGGATAACACGTTTGGTAACTCACAACCTGTCTCGTTCCAGGGTAGTGTGAGGGGGGGGGGTTAGTGGTAGTAATGGTGGTGTGAGGGAAGGGGTGGTAGTAGTAGCAGTAATGATGGTGATAGTGTGGGCGTTAGAGGAAGTGAGGGAAAGGGTGGCGGGGTTAGCGAGCGGCCGTCGTGATGTACCGGTAAGTTACTATGACATTGTTGTGGGTCGGGGTAAAAGATGATGACTCCAGAGTGTGTGGTGTTGACTAGTGATTTTCTGTGACTGTAAAAGATCACGAGTTATAATTTGATCTTTTTTACCAAATACGAAGGAAAGTTTATTAATGATAGTCCGTCAGGTGTCGGATTGGATGAAAAAAAATGATTGAAAGAAAACTACAAAACAAGTTAATGCAGCGGTCAAAAGCATTTAGCTGTTAGTACAATGCTGTTTGTTATACGTTATATAAAGAGAGTTAAATGTATTTAACCTTACAGGTATATCAGCAAGCAGTGTTCTCAGACCTACTTCATTAATTGACCCTCACGCATACTGTCTGTGTGTTCTTATCATTCATATGGAAGTTCAGGTGGACAATCAGCTCCGGCCAATGTGTAGTCACGGATGATATGTCAGAGTGTATTACTACTAATTTACTCAAGTGCAGTATTGTGGGGTATGAAGGTCTACCAGCTCTCAGTGATGCCGTGCCTAATTTCTCTTTACTACAACGGACTTTTTTTTTTATAGCCACGACGACAAGTCTCTAAGTGACCGTCACTCACTCCTCAGTTACTGGAGTAGAAAATGTTATACTCGTATACGCTATGACGAGAGTTGTTATGTGTGGCCGGCTCTCACTTGTTTTTTCTCTTTTTGGTGTTGATAATTTGCCATATCATCTTTTGTGTGTTTCTTTAACGGTTGTCCCTTTAATTGTTTTGAAATATCTTATACTTTTTCCTCTTTCTTATTGTTATGTACTATTTCTAGCATCTCCAGCAGCTCAAAGGACAGCTAATCCCTCACTCACTGGCGGAGGAAAGCATTTCTACACTCGTGCATCCTACAAAGAACATGTACTGTATTTGTTTGCCCTCTAGCACTTATTTACAGCAATACTTCACACAGTTGTGTTCCTCCCTTGCCTTGTCCCCCTCCCCACCTTCGTAGCTCTTCAGTCTCCATGATGTGATTTTCTCAGGCCGTTTTCTCCCACCCGAAAGAGTTGTCTGGGGGTCTAGCTAACCCCTGGTCGGAGCTTGACCAGCACGAAAAAAAAAGTAGAAAAAAAAATCAAACAGGGAGGTACTACCGCCTGGGAAGATATTGGAAGCATAATGTGTTGTCTAATGGTAGACCCTGCTGCCATATGGCATCACGAAAATTGTGACCAAGTCCCAGGTTGCTGATCTGACTCTCTGCCTCATTTACACACAATTGCAGGGTCTCAATTGTTTCTCTTACTATTGACAACACAACATACATATATTGATTCTCACTATTGATCTTTTTTTTTCATTTTTTTTATTATTATTATCATATTTGTTATAGTTTTTAATAATAATAATAATTATTATTATTATTATTATTATTATTATTATTATTATTATATTTTCGACCCCCGGGCCCTGATGTGGGTCATTGACCTGTGCTCTAGTGGGCTAATCCCCGTAAAAAATAAATAAATAAATAAATAAAATACAAATAAAATAAAATAAATAAATAAAGTTTTTAGGATAAGTTATCAATGTTTCTCCAACTGTTATCTCACAACGCACAGCAATATATTCGATATATTCGTTCAATATGATGAACTAGGAAGCACTACTTCTCCGTGTAGACACGTACCATACAAAGTGATTTTCATTTTATGTGACCTTCATATGTCATGTGGTGTCTATGTTTCGGGTGATAATGATTCTTAGTGAACTGTATGTGACATAACCACTTCATGATTCAATGTGTTTTATTATAGTCCTGTGGTAGTAGAGTGAAGAGTACTGCACGAGGCACATGTTTAGCGTGTTAATGAATGTACCGTGGTATGTCAGGTGTTCCACACACACACACACACACGCACACGCACACACACGCACACACACACACACACACACACACACACACACACACACATACTTTAGTTTAAGATATTATATAGAGTTTGTTCTCGAGTAAATATTTTTGAAAACGTGTTTAGTTATTGTTCTATTCCGGTCCAGTTATCACACTAACATATATCTAAACTTTCATGACCTATCAAGGTATGTAATGGTGATGTTGTGTCTCGTCACCCACATCAGTTCCTATAAACACTCAGCTGTGTCTGGAGAAGTCAATCGTACAAGAGATCTCCTCATCTTCAAGTTATTAAGTATAGTACCCCAACGAGATATTCTTCCTCCTCATCAGCCCAAAACACCTGTAGACACTCGCTTTAACCTACAGTCCGCCTCGTCCTGCTGGGTCTTAAACAAATTTTCCTTCCTGATATTCGAAGATTTTTAAGGTTAAAATTCCTGTAAAAATCACACCGATAGCCTTTCTTTAATCCCTTTCCTTTCGCTTTTATATTTTTCCCCACTCATCATCTTTCCTCCATTTTAACTCACAAACTCCCATCTTTCTGGTCTAGTATATCGTTTTTCTCAAGATACCAAGACTCTGAACATTTCCTAGACACACTGAACACAGTTGTCTCTTTGGTAAGGTGATAGTCAACCAGCACTGGCTTCTCTTCTCAGTCCCAACTCCAGAAACTACCGAATGGCATGCATGACACAACCAAGTCAGTGACATTATCAGGAGAATTAAAAATAAAATAAAAATCTGGGTAATGCTACAGCCAACACAGAAACTACCAACACCTAACCTAACCTAATCAAGATCTTCATGTACAGAAGATATGAACATGTGTACAACACTATTCAACATGTCATATTCACTGTGGGATAGAAAAGATTAAGTTAGGCTCCAGGTTCATTAACACAGACGTGTGGGTAACCAGCCTCCTGTTCCAGCACTTTGGAGTTGTTATCCAGGGATATATATATATATATATATATATATATATATATATATATATATATATATATATATATATATATATATATATATATATATATATATATCCACTATTGATGGACTCTGGTCCTTTTGGGAGAAGATGAGTAATAAGACCAATTACTGTACATAACACGGAAGACCAACTTGATACCAGCAGATCTTGTATTGTCAACTGCAACAAGTAGTCATAATATACTTGCTTACACTGTTCAAAGTAATTATAAGTGTGTTTAAACCTCCTCATTAATAAGGACCTAGGAACTCTTAGTGCACTCTAAATACAAATACAATTGTTTCAACAGAAACAACGTATTTCCTTTGACCTAATTTTACACAATATCACAAATAACTCCAGTAGCACAGCATATTAATAACTCCTAATAAAAAGAACAAAATGTGTGAAGAATTAGTTTAAGTAGAAATATGTTGGAGAAGTTCATCTGAAGACTTACAAGGAAAAAGACGAACAATAAAAGAGAAAAAATGCAGTTGACTGGTGTAACAACTTCTATTTAACCAATACTGCCTTTACTCGTAGTGCGTAGTAAGGTATACATCTTAGTAAAACATATTTATATTAGTTTATTCAGATAAGAAATATGACCCTAAAAGTGACAAGAAATAGTTTTATAAATGATAATTACCCAAAAATACAATATTTCATGATATGTAACTAGAAGCAGACACACAAGAAGGCACACCTTGATAGAGGGATAGAATATCAGATGAACGAATGAGAAGATAAACAGAGAAAATGAACACACAGACAGGCAGAATAAGTGATTGATATAAATGTATTGATAGAAAGACAGAATCAGACACGATTTTTTTTGCCATTATTACTGGCAGGTGAGAGTAAACCCTTCCCGATATATCCTTTAATAAACTTCCTGGTCTTTTTTTAACGTATATAAAGTGTTCTTGGCGACGTGTATACAACTACACATCCTTGGATGATTAATAAATTACGTAATTATCAAAAGTAAAACATATGTATACAGCAGTGAAACCATATGGAGTGATTGACTAGCTACCAGAGCCAATTAGTGTTAAGGGCAATGAAGTGTTGTCACCAGTCACAATTTTAAGTGACTATTGTGACTCATTACTGTGTCATTAGTCCGTCAACCCCCCAAAGCACTCCAGTGAAAATAAACGTATAATGGTGATCTTTGGTCAAATCAACATACTATGTACCATTGTGTGTGTAATTACATTATATTATAAGTGTGCCTTCAATATGTACATAGTGTATATATACTGTTTATTTTGTACATGCTGCAATAATGTGAATTTATATAATATTTAATAATGAATTTATTATATATCTACGTAGTAATTTAATTCATTTATATTAGTTAGTGTTCCCATATCATCGTGTTCTATGTTTCATAATGTGTACTATGGGTATTTCTTTTGCGTGGGTCAACTGACATAATGTTGACGTGAGGGATCAATGTTCGAGTACAGTGTAAGAAAAACTTCAAGGATATATGTAACCTCGTTGCCATCACCACATAGTAAGTGACACAGTATTAATCACCCAGATTCAAAATGTGGTGTAGGAATGAAGTGTATTCCTGTTTTCCGGTGACGAAAGGCCACCCGATTCAGTTCTGTTTACTGCCCAACAAACAGATGAAAATATGGATATTTTGGTCGAACGCCTTAGTCCAGATTCAACACAAGTTAGATAAAAAGGAGTAGCGATCAGAGAAAAGCTTGGATTGAATGCTTGTCCTGGAGAGAATGGTTATTGGTTAAAAAAAATCAAGAGCATTGTACGGCAAGGGGTGACCTAATTGAGGTGTATAAACATCTCAAGGGGCACTAATCAGTCGAGTGTCCTTACTTGGAGCTGGCGGACGCTCGCCCCACAGGGGGTCACAGCTCAAGATTGAAGAAGCCACAAGTCCACAAGACTGAAAGGGCAAACTTTTTCGGAGTGAGAGTTGTGAACTCTTGGAACAATCTACCAGAGAGTGTTGTGACGGCACCGAGTGTGAGCTCTTTCAAGACCAGACTTGACCAACACTGGAGCA